TTAATTCGGATATGATTGTGGATTGTTTGTCTAGAAGAATTTAGTCGATATGAACTGTTCTTTCCCATCAATGTCTATTAGAGAAGTATGACTTGATCCTTCCTAATGTTCTTGCTTGGAAGCCAAAGTAAAGTAAAAGTAACAGTTTCTGTGATAGTGATAAGTTCTGGCAAGTTGATTCACAAGGATCAACTTGTGAATTTGGATGAGAATCCTCAAGGGGAAATTGGGAAAGCTTGGGAAATTTTGAAAAATGAGATAATAAAAGCACAGTCTAGCACAATACCAACAAAGAGGAAAAATAACAGCTCTCAAAAGAAACCAGCATGGCTGCATAAAGAACTCTCTGACAAATTGAAAGATAAAAAGGACAAGTACAGAAAGTGGAAAGAGGGGAACATAACTAAGTCAGAATATCAGCAAATAGCCCGAGCCTGCAAAGATGAAGTGAAGAAAGCCAAGGCTCAAAATGAACTAAGGCTTGCGACCAAAGTCAAAAATAACAAAAAAAGCTTCTTTCAACATGTAAAAAACAAGAAAAAAGTGAAGGAAATGATTGGTCCATTAGTGGGTGGAAGTGGCAAGAAGGTGACAAGCAACAGGGAGAAAGCAGAACTATTTAACTCATTTTTTGCATCTGTCTTTACACAAAGGGAAAAAACAGACCAACCTATCAAAAATAGTGCCATAAAAAACAAAACAGAAACACAAGTTAAGATAGGCAAGAAAATGGTTAGGAGCACCTGTCCAGCCTAGATGAGTTCAAATTGCCAGGACCAGATGGATTACACCCCAGAGTTCTCAAGGAACTGGCAGATGTGATATCGGAGCCACTGAACTATATTTTTCAAAGATCCTGGAACACAGGGGAACTACCAGAGGACTGGAAAAGAGCTGATGTAGTTCCCATCCTCAAAAAAGGAAAAAAAATGGATCCAGGAAATTACAGACCTATCAGCCTGACCTCAATACCTGGGAAGATCCTGGAAAAGATAATCAAACAACGAATCAACGAACACCTAGAGGCAAACAAAGTCATTACTAAAAGCCAACATGGGTTTGTCAAAAATAGATCATGCCAGACAAATCTTATTGCATTCTTTGACCAAGTGACAAAATTAGTGGATCAGAGGAATGCTGTGGACATAATTTACTTGGACTTCAGTAAGGCATTTGATAAAGTAGATCACAACCTACTACTTGACAAGATAGAAAAATGTGGGGTAGACAGAACCACCACCAGATGGATCCGTAGCTGGCTGACCGGCCGTACTCAGCGAGTGGTCCTCAATGGAACTGCATCTATATGGAGGGAAGTGTGTAGTGGGGTGCCCCAGGGCTCTGTTCTGGGCCCAGTACTCTTCAACATCTTCATCAACGATTTGGATGAAGGGATAGATGGGGAACTCATCAAATTTGCAGATGACACCAAGCTGGCAGGAATAGCCAACACTCCAGAAGACAGGCTTCAGGTACAGAAGGATCTGGACAGACTTGAACACTGGGCACTAACTAACAAAATGAAATTCAATGGTGAAAAAAGCAAGGTTCTACATTTAGGCAAGAAAAACCAAATGCACAAGTACAGCATAGGTGGCACCATGCTCAATAGTAGTAACTGTGAGAGGGACCTCGGAGTCCTAGTAGACAATCAGTTAAATATGAGCCAGCAGTGTGCGGCAGCTGCCAAAAAGGCCAACACAGTACTAGGCTGCATTAACAGAGGGATAGAATCAAGATCACGCGAAGTATTAATATCACTCTTCAATGCCTTGGTAAGGCCACACTTGGAATACTGCATCCAGTTTTGGTCACCACGATGTAAAAAAGATGTTGAGACTCTAGAAAGAGTACAGAGAAGAGCAACAAAGATGATTAGGGGACTGGAGGCTAAAACATATAAGGAACGGTTGCTAGAATTGGGTATGTCTAGTTTAACGAAGAGAAGGACAAGGGGGGACATGATAGCAGTATTCCAATATCTCAGGGGCTGCCATAAAGAAGAGGGAATTAAGCTACTTTCCAAAGCACCTGAAGGCAGGACAAGAAGCAACGGGTGGAAACTAATCAAGGAGAGAAGCAACCTAGAACTAAGGAGAAACTTCCTGACAGTGAGAACAATTAATCAGTGGAACAGCCTGCCTCCAGAAGCAGTAAATGCTCCAACACTGGAAGTTTTTAAGAAGAGACTGGACAGCCATTTGTCCGAAATGGTGTAGGGTTTCCTGCCCGAGCAGGGGGTTGGACTAGATGACCTCCAAGGTCCCTTCCAACTTTACTATTATTGTTATTATTATTATTATAGTTGTAGAAACAATTAGAATTACTATACTTTTTTTCACCAGTGTACTAGCCTGCTCACCTGAAAAGAACCCCAATATAAGCAAAGGCATTCTTGTGGTTTTGTCTGTGTATGCTTGGAGACCATAGTTTTGTTGGAAAAAAGAAAAGTCTAGGGCACAAGTCCCCAACCAGTGGTTGGATTCAGATATGTGGATAACCGGTTCTGTGTGTAGATACCACTTCTGGAAGTCTGTTCTGGGCCTGGGCAACAAAAAATTAACTACCGGTTCTGCCAAAGTGGTATAAACTGGCTGAATCCCACCACTGTCCCCAACTTTTGGGGTACCAGAGACCAGTTCCGTGGAAAGAGGTTTTTCCGCGGACCAGAGGGTACGTGGTTTTGTGTGCTGCCTGCATCTCATGGATGGGGCATTGCTTGTTTGTGCGGACCAGTTTCTGGCATGCCGTGGCCTGGTACTGGTCCATAGACCGGGGGTTGGGGACCCCAGGTCTAGGGAGAAGACAGTGCAGGAGACCAAAGAACTGAGATGTTGGGGGACCAAGAAGAGGCCAATGGAGGCAGCTGTTCTAAGCTGAGAAAAACTGATTCATCCAGTCTGAAAAGTAATCTGTTGTGTATATGTGCGTGTGTGTGTTCTGTATGTGTGTGTGTTTTGTGTGTGTGTGCCCATAAGAAAGAGGGGGAGGATTAGAGTATCTGCTGATAACTGCTACACTAAAAAGGTTGTAAAAACCTTGACTGAAAGTGAAAGCAAGTTAATGGCTAAAATGATTTCAGCAGCACTTAAGGAAGCAGTTGCAAATATTAGCGAAGATGGTTTAATGGTTTGATTCAGTACCCAAAGCTACAAAAAGCTTAAAGCAGTAGACAAATAGGAAAATGTAGTGTAAATAGCAGAGTAAGTTAAGCAAGGCAGTAGAAATATATTAAGGTGACCAACTTTTTTACAATGAAAAGGAGGACACAAATAAATTGAAGAAAAAAATATTGTAAATAAAGGAAACATTTTATTCATTGCAACAATAATACAGACAACTTGCATATGCAAAGTTTGCCAGCCGGGTGTTTTGGCGCGCTCAGCAGCAATTCCTATTGGCTTTCGAAAGCCAATAGCAGGAGTAGCACAGCTCATGCAAAAGTTGAAAAAAAAAATAAAAAAAAGGTGCCGAAATGCCGTTCTGAGCGTTCTATGAGAAAAAAAAAAAGCCCTGCAGATTAGTCTTCTAATATCGAAAAGGAGGACATGTAGGAGGACACTTTTTGAGGGAGGACAGAACTTACAAAAGGAGGACTGTTCTCCCTAAAGGAGGACGGTTGGTCACCTTAAATATATGTTAGTTAAGCTGTTTCCCTGTTAAGAAATAAATGTAACTATGCAAGAGTGAACCATATTCCTACTCATCCTGTTTGTATCTGTACCATTCCAAATGAACACATGGCAATAATATTCAAAGTTTATTATGGAGAAAATGGAATTTTAGCAATAAATAAAATTGAAAGTTTCTGCTGTTGTTCTTTGGAACAAATTGCCTATATTTGCCCCAGGTCATAAAGTAATGGTTCAGATTTAAATACCTGTGGAAAAACTTTTGCAAAATTCTATGATTATATTAGGAGTTCCATTCAGTCATATGGAAATATAGCAATATGCAAGCTGGACTTTTAGTTTGCATAAAGTACCACCAAATTGTTTGAAAAAAATCACACATTGGTAATATGTAAATGGACTGTTTGATTTAACATACTGATCTAGCCAATAGTTAATCTGTTTTGGCTTAGTGTGATACATGGATCAGCCTTTGTGATTAATAAACTACAGTTTATGACAATGTGTTATGCGAAATATATCTCCATAGTTCAACTACAGTATATTAAATCAAACCATGACTTCATATGCTATGTGCACTCTGCCTAAAAATAGGAACGTAGGGTTAGCCTAGTAGTTTGTAATCACCAGAATCAGGCTTCTTTCATACAAAAAAATCATTTTGATTTTCCAACATTTTTCATTAATGTAACTTTGTGAAAAAAGTTCTGAGGGTATTTTTAATTGCATAACTGCAAGTCAGAAAATGACAGAGTAGAGCTATAAATTCTGTCTAACCTGTGACCTCATGACTATCAGTTAATTGCACATTTCATTTCTATATAGAATAAATATAGAATAAATGAAATATAAAAAATAAATGAATAAAAATATAGATACAACTACAAAAGTATATTCAATAGCATTTACTATGCTGCTGTAAAGGATTTTTTACAAGATTTGTATCCATTGGTCTATAAAAAAAACCTGCAATCTTAAAAACAATACTGCATTTGGTATAAATAATTTTATTTAAATTATTTTTTTTACAACTGGGCATATTTTGCAGCTGCCAGAAAATGAGATAGAGATAGTCAGTATATACATTATCTTGGTTTATTGAACAGATGTCTTTTTAATAATAGATATGAACCACTGACTTTCTTTTAAAAATGTTTAAATTTAAAGTCTTTTAGAATATTATGATATTAATGAGGCCCTTTGGCAAGGACACAATCTTGAAAGACAATTGAAGATATTAAATAAATATTTATGAACCACTGACTTTCAAGGATAATCAAACATAATCCTGTTCAAGGTTAGCTATTTCTTCATAGATGCTTCAACAACATTTATTATTAATAAAATATCTTTAAATCTTGTACCTAGATTAAAAAATTACAGCATGCTTCAAAAATTAACAAAGAACAAATGCTGCTGAAACGCCATTGCCAGGTATGGTGGAAAGAACACAAAAGATTGCATGAAAACAGGTAAGTGATAAAGCTGAATAAAGTAATTGAAAATTTGGTAAAGCGATGAACAAAACTTCATATGCAGAGTCTGAAGGAAAGTGCTCTTTTAGATAAGAAAATCCTCAAATGACCCTGAAACAGTTATGCTATTAATCTATGGAACCAGAAGAATGGAAAAACTCTGTTGGGGAGGAGAAATAGACCTGATTGCACCCAGAGTTTGTACAGAGTTTCTATGTAAAATTGCAAGCTGCCCCTGGGAACTCTTAACAGGCTGGTTAGGTAGAATTAAATCTGCTTCTGATTATTCTGAATATGTTTAACTACCAGTAGAGTTCCCACATGAAGGAAGAATTGGGATAAGAATAAGAAAAGGCTAGTGACCCAAAAGTGCCCACACTTGCACACATGCACATACATACAAATCGGGTACAAGGGAAAAGAGTATATTTTACTTGACCTGAAACCTTTAATTGCAGGCAGAAATTAGAATCTGAAATTCAAACAGTCTTTGATGAAGAAAATGAATGTTTTTTCGACTTGTGGGATTTGCGTAAGTAATCTGTCAATTTCTGGATTAAACTACTAAATTGTGTAGTTACTAGTAAGAAGGAGAGATAAGAAGAATGTAAGGATTAAGGAGAGTGGGTCAAGAATAAAAAAAAATCATATTTCTGTGTTTTTCATCTAAGTTCCATTAAGAAGAAACTTTTCCTCTTAGAAATAAATCTAGTATCAGATGGCATGAGTATTGAGTGAACAATATTTGCTTTTTTCAATGGACTGTTGTGCCCTTTCTCTCCAATAAACATCCATAATACAACAGCAGGAAAAGACCTACACCCTATACTATACATACCACGCTATGAATATTATGCTGTATTCAATCCCTTCTTTTTCTGGGAGCCTGGGTTTCTTATTCTTTTCAGAGACAAGAAGAGAAAATGTAAATTTCCTTTTCTATAATATAAGCTATTGTTTGACAAACCTCTTATTAATTAGCTCTTTAACTGAGCAACACCCCTAATTTCTATTTAACTTTTAATAGGATATAAATTAACAAAAGGCTTGGATACATTTCAAGCAAACACAGTGCAACCTGTCTGGCAGCTAAGGGAAGATTTAAGGTACAGACTATTAGAAATGCAAACCAACAGCAGAAGTGTGGAATATCAATTCAATCCAGATGCTGTATTAAAAGAGGTTAGTTATTCAGTGCTGCTGCAGATGATCTTTCCTCCTATATCTTACTGTGGATGATCTTCTGTCCTATTTTCCACTGATATTATTGCAATTGCATTATATTTGCACTCTTAAAGAAATACGCTGTTCAATCAAGGTATCAGTATGATATGTGACATAGAACTAATTTCAGAATCCAGCTTTTTAAAACTGTTTCTTTTCTCCCTCTGACACTTTAATCTTGTTTTCTGTTAGCCATGTTGAGAGATAGCATGCTACTGAACATAATCTTTTGTATTGTATTTTGGGGTACCATCATTCACTGCCTGTAGATTTGAGATTGGACACCATGGTTTTTTTTTCTGTGTCCATGATGATAGATCTTGTGATCCTTCAAATCAGTTATAAATCTCATCACTCCTATTGTTGGTCATGTCGACTTGCTGATGGGACAGATTTTCTCACATCTGTCCTGATTCATATCTCCTCATTATTTTCAAAAACATTTCAACTTTGAAAACAAATTCCTAAAACACATCCAAATCAATCTAGACAGTGAATCAGCATTTGTAAACACAGGTCTTGGATTTTTATATAAAATGGGCAAATCTTTTGGGGTGGAATGCACAGGGATACGTAGGGATAATCTAGCTGATGTTAATGTTAAGGCTGGCCAATGATTTACTGCAGAATACATAGACTGAATGTCATGGTTCCGATAGATGAAACCAGTAAAAGAACTTCAAGGCAAGAATTCTTCCTTAAAGAACATTTTATTAGGAAACAAAGTATCAGCACTTACATACTTGAACCCAAAACTGAGATTCCCTCCCCCCAGATACAAAGTAACAAGTTGCAATTCCCTTCCCACAAACGCTGTCATCAATCACATTCCCCAATTAAAGCCCAAGACACTGCTTTTCTCACCAGCCTCTCAGCCTGCCAAAATCTTATCAGACCATGTCCTTGAGTTCCCACACTTCTGCATTGTTATGGGTAGCTAAACCCTCAAGCGTTCATCCCCTCCTTTCTACATCTGAACTCTAAAAGAATAGAAAAGGCATGTTAGAAGCAAAAGTAAAAATGGCTGCTGATTCTCAGTTGTCAGAGCGACGACATCCAATGGATGTCGTCGCTCTGACACTGAAATTATAACTTAACTAGAAGTAATTAGATGTAAAAATAAATCCATACATACAATAACTTTTTATTCTTTACTTTTCTCAGAACAAATTATATAGCTTTTTTGCAGGGAAGACCAAACTGTACATACTATAATTCAGTCTGACTTGTTTGTTAAAATCTTGGTCTGACCTATACAAAATAAATGCATGTGCATTCTAGAAAAATTGTGAGTGATAATTGTGTATATGCATACAGCAATTTCTAAAGATTGAATAATATTTTTCAGTCCAAATACTCAGTACTACATGCTTCCCATTTTGTATAACAGGAATACACATAATGTTCTCTGAAAATTATTCTGTGTATCTGGTTGTATGCCTTAATCTTGAGATTTTCGTAGAATCAAGTATTGATCTATTTTAGGACGTTTTGTCTGATCCTAATTATTTTTTTCTTTGGACTTTGCTTTAATATATTGGATTCAGAGTCAGATTGATTTAATGGCATGCTACATTAGCAAATTTAGGATTTTATACTGTGTATGTCAGTCTTACCTTATTAATAAAATATATAAGAAAGAACCAAAAAAGTTAGTGTTATAAACCTAGGTCCAATTCCCACTCAGGCAAAATCTGGATCTCCGACCAGCTAGCTCTTTAAATTTGACCTGCTTTATAGCGTTCTTGTGATGATATATAAAGGGATAACTTTTTTTTTTTGCATTATACTGCTATGAATTCTTTGGAAAGAGATAGGATAAAAATAGAATGAATCAATGAGCAATGTGATGTTTTATCAATACACGGGACCACATTTACAACATTCAGTCTACTTTTACTCATTAATACAATATTTCTCGAAATTAGATAGAGTATGTGAAGAAACAACAGAAAGCAATTTTGGGAAAGCTTCATCTGGAGAGAATAGCTTTGGAAAAAGAGCTTGAGGAATTTATAGATGGAGTAAGTTCTTTCAATTTTTTTTAAGTGATTTTAATTAGATTAGCTAGAATGTGGCAGATGGTCCCAATGTCTTTATTTTTATTATAGTCCCTGGCATGTACTTTAGAGGAAAGGACTACATTTGCACCTGAGATTCCACCACAGTTATTGGAGCTGGAGTGTCCATATCCTGATCTGAAGGCTTCTGTGTTTTCTGAATTTTATAAACTTGCAGATGACTATTCTTTGAAGATCCAAGAGGCTGATGAAGACTTAAAATCCATAGCGAGGTAATACAATCTGAATTCATGTTTGTTTAAGGATTAAGTAAAATGTTTTGGTATTGAAACCTTCTGCTATTGCAGTTGCCTTTACCAAGAGAGCGTGCGGGGGGGGGGGGGGGGAATGCCTTGCTGAACATCATGCATAGTTGACCTTCTGTCCAGCTCAATGGGATTAAGTAGTCAGTAACTATTTGCACAGCTGAGAGAACTGCCTTTTTCTAAAAAGCCTGGACTGAAATAATAAGCAAAAATGTTCAAAGGAGTTGAAATACCAGGCGCTATCATAAAATTCTTGGTGAGTATAAATGTAATGTTTTCTCCCCTGTTTTATAATTTATTTTTATTTGGAGACAACTAAACCTGTTCATAGATTTTGAGCAATCCCCACTTAGTTACAATTACAGAGTCTTTCCTTCTGTGAACTTGGATTTATTGACCTAGATGGTCTCATTGAAAATCTTACTCAACTGAATCTATTTAGATACTATGGCAGATTCAGGGATTTGGAACGTTAAAACTGAAATGACCTTTTATGTCAGGAAAACTGAGATTGGTGGTGGTGTGAGGGACAATGTCTCCAGCTGTCACACTGAGTAGTTCTACTGCCTAGCCCTCAATCTCTCAAATTCAAGAGATTAATTGCTGGAATAGTTTTATATTATCCCCATGGTCTTTCATAATAAGACTTTTGATAATCCCAGCATTTGTGCATTTTAACTCAGAGGAGTGACTTGAACAACCTTCTTATTTTGCACTTATAAAAGTGATACTTATGAAGGAATTCCTGAGAAAAATAGAGAGAGAATGAAAAAAAAAAACAGCTTTTAGAATATTACTTAAAAGAAGTAAACACTGACCTTTAAAACATAAACAAGGTTTACAGAGTTGGCTTAATCGATCCAGGTTAAAATGTTTATAATTTTTTTTCTAGCAGATTTTAATGGGTTTTTTTTGACCAAGATTGAATGAGGAGGCTTTAATGATTTGTGTATAGATAAGATATGGAAAGAAGAGATTGTTGTTACATTTTTAGAGAAAGTGATAAAGTATGGTATTAAAATTGAAGGAAGGTGTTAAATGTGTGAAGGAATTTCTGACATGAGATGAAGAGAAGATGATAAGAAATTAATTTGTGGAACAAAATTTGAAGGAATTAAATTTCATTATGTTATTCCTGATAGCTCTTAATAGAATTTTTAAAAATAAATTTGAATGATGAGGCTTTAAAATATGTTTGTAGTTATAAGATATGGGAGGAAGAGGTTTTTGTTGCCTTTTAAGAAAAAAAATATAAGTGACTTTGTAAAGGAATATGAAATTGATTTACTTGTTTAGGGTTAAATATAAAGTTATTTCTGGTAATTTTTAATGGGCTTGCTGATAAAGGTTGAATGATGAGTATTATTTGCTATAAGATAAAAGATGAGCTATGGTATGAAGTGTTTTTTGATTGAATGTTAGAGAAGGTGATAAGTTACTGAAATTGTACTTGTCTTGATAAAGGGAGAAGTCATTTCTTTATATATCTATACGTGTGTGTATCTGTATCTGTCGGGTATCTCTTCACCCCTTTTTTTCTCTCTGCACTTTTTTCTTTGTTTCATTCATTCATTCATTCATAAAATTTATTGGCGCCCATTTTACCATACGGTAATTCTAGGCGGCTTACAGTTATATATACAGTTATAACATAAAAAGTTAAAATCAGACATTAAAACCAAGGGGAAGGCGGGGCTGGAATGGGGGGGAGTAGGTGGCATCCATTATTATTCAATCAACCAGTGCTGTTGCTCCACTGGGGCCCCAAGCCAACTGGCGGAGCCAAGTCTTTAGGTCCTTACGAAAAGATAGGAGGGTTGGGGGCTTGGGCCCAACCTCACATTGGGGAGGCAAGATGTTCCAGAGGGTAGGAGCAACAGCAGAGAAGGCCTTCCTCCTGGACCCTGCCAGCTGGAATAATTGGGCTGACAGGACCCACAGCATATCTCCGCTACTGGCATGAGTGGTATGAGCCAATCTCAGTGCAGTGAGATGGTCCCTCAAGTAACCTGGATCCATGCCATGAAGGGCTTAAAGGTGGTCACCAACACCTTGAATTGTACCTGGAAGCAGACTGATAACCAATGCAGCTCGCAGCAGTGGTGCTACTGGGCCATTCTTGCCCCCCCCCCAACGCCCATGCTGCCTGTGACATGGGTCATATATCACATTAACATGAATTGTATGGATTTGGTTTAGTGCTGCCGTGTGAACTCAGACATTCTGATTAGCTTAGAATTATTTGAGAACCTAGCCAATTTTGATTTAATCAATAAACTTTGCTTAAATAAGGCATGATTTAGCAAAATGTGTAAATTGGGATTTTTTTAAAAAAACAACCCAAATTAGTGTTGGAATTATTATCTTAAAGAGGATGAAAAAGGAAAAAGAAAAGAAAAATAAATCTGTATCTAGCAGCCTGGAAGAACAAGGCAAAGGGGAAATCATGCTAAGCAAATATTCCAGCTGTAACTTGGTTTCAACTAAGGCCATCACTCAAAAGAGAGAGAGAGAGAGAGAGAGAGAGAGAGAGAGAGAGAGAGAGAGAGAGTAATCAACATAATATGGAAGCTGTGTTTGAACCAGAGGAGGCAATTTTAAGCCACTCATTCTAAACATACTTATTTGTATTCACTGACACTTTCTTGATTATACTATTGTACTTCTGTGAACTATGAAGCCAGTAGTTTGGTTATACCCATGATCATAATGGAGGTCTCCTTGGCCATTTTGTGAGAAAAATAAAACAGATCAGTTGGGGAGCACTTATTTTGCATGACTAATGTTTCAGCTAAATGCCTAATCTTGTGATAGAACTGGAGAAATCACTGTCTGAATTCCTGAATAGTTGCTGCCAGCCAGGATAGTTAGTACTGGGCTATCTAGGCAAAAGCATCTTCATATAATCATCCATTTTGGAAGCCTTTTCAGCCTTTCCCTGCCTTCTTCTTGATTTTCTAATAATCTTGCAAATTCAGTTTTGATTGAATCACACTAAGATCTGGGAGAAGAACTTCACATTGTTAATTGCTGTAGTGCTGTGGCAGAGGATACCCCATTCTATCAAACCAGAACAAGGAATGTGTTATCTCTTTGTGCAAGTATGGATCCATTGTGCCTCTGTTTGTACACTACTGTCACCAAACAGCAGCACAGAGAATTGGACTAGGCAGATTTCTGTGAAAAGCACCATGTTGGGAATGATAGTCTCCCAAATTGATATGTTGAGCTTTGTTATTGTGGAAAGTTAATCTGAAGAAATGGGGAGGGGAGAAGAATATGGTTGAATGTGAAACACTAGTAAAATATGGAATGCTACCCACTTTTCAGACAATGCCAGAACAAGAAAAGTGTTTGCTTCTTGTTTTCTATGTCCCTTAAATTGATGATGTTTAATTTCATTACACACTAATGCATTTCATACCTTTGTTTTTCTCAAACCATATAATCATGTGAAAAAGTAAGTATACCCCATTGAATTTTTTTGACCTTTTCAATGTATTTCAACATGCAGGTGTCTAATCTTCATTTCAATAATATTGATAGATAAAAGAGCTATAAAAATATCATGTAGCATTTGCATTTTGTAGTCCATTGTATAATTTAAATAAACATAAATGCAACTTTTGCAAGTGGAAAAAGTAAATATACCTCCATATTTATCACTACCTCAAATATCTAAATATCAGGTCAACGCAAATGATTAGAACTCTGTTAGAGAGCATCTGGGAGGCGTTTGTCTTGTGAAACTTCAGACACTTAGCTTGATTTGCTCTTTGTTGTTGAAGTGTTTGGTATCTCCATACCAAGATCAAAAGGCTACTTTGAAGCTTCAGACAGGTTATAGAGGCTTACAAACCCAGGAAGGTATTTAAAACAGAGTGCCAAACAATTGGACATCAATCATTCCACTGCCCGGAAGATCATCTACAAGTGGAGAAGATTTCAAACAATTGGCAAGTGGCCCAGGCTACTCCTTCCCAGCAAGTCCAGTCTCTAAAAATCTCAGAAGTTCGTCATGTGATCTACAGGTAACTCTTTCCACTATTGATGTCAAAGTGTATGAGTCTACCATTAGAAGCTGCACAACTTAGATCTACATGGAAAGTGTGCCAGGAGAAAGCCTTTGCTGTCCAGAAAGAACCTCAGGGCAAGACCCCTTATTTGCTCATGAATACCTAGGCAAAGTCCAGGAATTTGGGAACAATGTGCTTTGGGCAGACAAGGCAAAGACAGTTATTTGGCCACATAATCAGAACACATGTTTATCAAAAACCAAAGACAGGATTTCATGAGAAGCATTTAGTGGAAAAATGATACTTTGGAGTTACTTTGCTGCATCGGGGCCTGGGCGGCTCACCATTGTAGAATCTAGTCTGACTTCTTCATTGTACCAGAGGGTGCTTGAGGATAATGTGAAGCCATTTGTCAGAATATTAAAACTGAACCAAAATTGGACCTTGCTATATTGCAATGACTCTAAACATTACAGCAAGTCCCTCAAAACTCTCATTTTATGACCCTCTAATCCTTAATTCAGGTTGAGTCAGGGCAATTGGATGGAGCTGAGCGTTTACTGGTCAGATGCCCTTCCTGACGCCATGTGGAGTCCACAGCAGATACTTTTTATTTGCACCGTAGGAGAAAAACATCTGCCACTACCCAGGATTGAACTCTCAACCTTCCAAGTGGGAGGTGAGTTTTTCACTACTAGGTCACCGTACCGCTCAGGGTAAATGCTGAAAAACAGAAAGAAATGGAGGGTCCTGGAATGGCCCAGTCAAAGTCTGATCTAAATTCCATTAAGATGCTGTGGGTTGATTTGAAGTGGGCTGTATGTGCAAGAAACTCCTCAGACATTACACAGCTGGAAAAATTCTGCTTGGAGGAGTGTGAAAAATTCTTCCTTGTCAGTGTCAGATTAGTAGACATTTATAAGAAAATGTCTGCTTGAGGTTGTTTCAGCA